GCTATGAGTCGGGGCCGACTCGACGGCAAAACAACAACAACAAGAAGGAATGAATTGGAAGTGGACAGGGCTGTCAGGCAGGGGTGTGTGTGTGTGTGTGTGTGTGTTCTGCCCCACCCCTTTTTTAAAGGTAAAGTAATCTCTTGGATAGTGAGCACCATGGGACAGCCTAGAAATCAAAACTTGAATTCCTGCTGCAAAGGATGAATGGTACAAGTCTCCAGTAAGGAACGAGGGGGCGGACTGTAGAAAACGGCAGAACCAGCGCAGGGTAATGTCCTGAGCAGTGAGGCCCTTCTCCTGCTGGTCTCTCCTGTCCCTCCCCAGGAAGAGGAGGCCATCATCAGTGGTGCCAGCCCCTTGGAGATCCAGGGTGAGGTACAGAAGTCTGCCAATGGTCCTAAGCAGCCACTGTGTGTGTGTCAGGAGCTGCTTCTCCCAGGCGCAGGCACGGACTGCCATTAGGGCCTCACTGAAATACTTCGGTCTCTGTCCTGATGGTATGGTGAGTGGCATGTACTTGAATTACCTCCAATCAGCTAGGACATCTCTGGGCTACCGAGAGGTACAGGAGAAATTGAGAAAGGCCTTCCTGTGCCTTTGTCCTCAGTGCCAAGGGGCCAGAAGCTGCAGGTGGAAACACCCACAGGGATTAATTCTCCTCGTTGGGCCCGGTATTCCCCGTGGAATGGGGGAGAATCCTCTCAGTGCCCAGCCGTCTAGTTAGGATGGGTTGCTGTGTCTGAGTCCGTACAGTGGGCACATCCCTGGCTGAACTAAGCTGAGCCCCAATCAAGTCCGTCAAGTGCCCTGCCCCCAGTCCCAGCCCTCCAAATGCCCACTCATCTTGGCTGGTTGTTGGTGTCAAGTCGAAGGACGAAGGACGAGACTCCATCCCTGGGGCAGCTTTCCAGAAGATAATTTGCTCAGCTTGCTTGTTAACTCTTTCATAGCTCCTCCCAAAGGCATTGATTTCTTCTGAGCAGCAGCTCGCCTTGCCACACCAACAGTATCTCTTTGCTATAGGAAAAGTCAAAGTAGGAAAAATAGCGAGAGGGGCATAAGATTCCAGACTCCATGTACTTCCTTCCCAAAGGCTTTTTGGGGCACAAAATTAGGTCGTGTAAGACTTTTCAGGATAATGTGTGTGCTGAATTTAAAGTAGAACAAAAGTAGGGAACTCAACACTCCGGGTAGCTGCATCTTGCAAATGTATTTTCTGATAACAGATCTGTGAGCAAACCACAGGCAGATGGAAAGGCCTTTGGATGCAGGTAACAGTTGGCCCACAAACTGGCCCAAGCCAGTGGGCAGTGGCTTTGGGCTCCTCTAGAGAAGGGTATTGCTGGAGCGATTCCCAGGCCCAGCCTCAAGCAGAGCTGACCGCGGGGATGGCAGTCGTGGCCTGCCACTGAGCATCTCCTGTCTGCAGCTCAGTGTGTGAGGCCAACAAAACCCATGTTCTGTCTTCAGATTCCAGCATCTAAGTCTGAACAGCCCCTTTGTTCTGGTTCCCTAGTGCCACTCTGACAAAAAATATCCCACAAATGAGATGGCCTTAACAAACAGGAGTTTATTCTTACAATTTGGAGGCTTTAAGTCCAAGTTCAAGTGCCAGGCTCTAGGAGCTGGGTGAAAGTCCCTCAACCTTGGGGTCCAGCTTTGCCCCCTGCTCCCAGCCCACTGGAGCTAGAGGCATTTCTTCACTCAGACAGCTGCTGGCTGCTGAGGCTGAGAAGCCCCAAGGTTGACAAGTAAAAAGGCACAGTCCCAATGTTACCAATCCACATGGCAGTCCCCAGGTTGGCAGAGCATAGCAGGCTGCTAAGCAACGACACAGCTACATGAAGGGTCCAAGTATGCCATAGGCTAGAGACCATTCTCAAAACTCCCCATATGCAGGAAGCAGACCACATACCCAAGGGCAGCTACTCAGCTGCTCACAATAGATTCCACCATGGAGTTGATGACCAGTCTCATCACGGGGAATACTACATCCAGCTGCCCAGCCACTCAACCAGGCCCGGCCAAGTTGACACACAAACATAACCACCACCCCTTAAAAGCCTGATATTTCAAGAGAAACATTTTCAAGGAAACATTTTATGGTATGAAGGTAAATGGGTACCCAATTCTATCTCTCCTTCCTGCAGCACAATAAACAAGGCTCCATCTCCAGAACTCCAACATCAATTGATCCTCGAGGCCTTTTTTTTAATTCTTCCTTTCTGTGTCAAACACGAGCAAAATCACAAAATAAATACCATGGGATTCTACGTAAACAGCGTTCAAATGTTAGCAAAATGGAAATCATTGCTTAGAGACACATACCCACGTGGGAAACAGTAAAGCAAGAGGGGGCTGAATGAAATGTAGGCTCAGAAGCAGCCCCTGCAGTCGTTAGAGTGGCAGATGGCACTGGGGAGTCCAAAGGGTTTCTCTATGGGCCTGGAAATGTTCCACACCAGGGTGTGGGGGCCCTGCCACCGTTCAATAGTTCTTTATGTTGAACATGTTTCTGTACACTCTTGTATGATGGATTTCACCAGTAAACATTTTTTTAAGTGATAAAATTCTCAAACTCTTCACTCCCCAGAATACCCAAAATATACCAAAAAGTAAAAGCAAACAAAAAATCAGAGGCTACAAACAGTGTTATTAGCTGCTGTCGGACTGGCCCACTCGCTGCAACCTTCCGCACAGCAGGATGAAATGCCACCCAGTCCATGACATCCTCATCTTGTCTGCTGGAGCCCACTGTTGTGACTACAAATACATGTGCATCGCTCCGTGGCAGCAAGTTTCCAGTGCTGAATCCAGAACTGAACAGCAGTGAGGACGACCCTCGCCTCAGCCAAGCAAAGTATGGTACAGGTAGCGGGGCCGCTGGGTTTTGGTGATCACCAGCTTGTGCCCTCCACCAGGCCTGAGGGGAAGGTAACCCTGTGCGGCAGCTACTCTGAGTGGTCTCCAGAGCACCTGAGTCCACCGGTGATGGCCGGGTCTTGCAGGCACCGTTTACTATGGGGACCCAGGCTGCAGGATGACCTCAACCACTGACCACATCTGGCCCAACTCTGGGGCTGGGCTGCTTCTAGGAAAGGAAGAAACACACAGCTGGCTGTTTCAAGTGGCTCCAGCCTCCCCTTCGGCTCACCCCTGGCTCTTTCAGTCTTTCAGCATCCAGATGGTCTCTGGTTTCAGAAAGCTCTGTGTATTTAAGCCTGTTTCTGGGGACAGTCATTTGTAATGTTAATTTCCATGGCTCCATTAAAGGGCGGAACACAGCCCCTCCCAAGGTAGCAAGCTTCAATTTTCCCTCCAGTAATCGAGTTAACAGCAATAAGACAGAGACGATAGAGTGGGCATGGGGAACGCGTATGTATTTATTACGACCTTCTGAACACAAAGCAGACCACTCCGACGGACGGGGGGCGAGGTTACAATCTGCACAGCGGGACGCTCCGTCACAGACAGGGCCGCATGCAGCCATAGAGGCTCTGCAGGAGGCTCGCAGCTGCTGCAGCAGCAGCTTTCAAAGGACGGTCGACAGTGGCGTGTTCTTTGATCAACATGCTGCCTTGGCAGGGAAGGAACAGGCTCCAGGTAAAACGACAGAACAGAAGTGAGTGGCGACATGTTGCAAGAGGCGTCAGGGGCCCTGGCTAGAACTGCCTGCTGAATTCCCACTGGTTTCTGCTTCTGCGGAGATGAAGGCCACAGGAGTTTGAGGGTTTGGTCCCAGGACCGCTTCCTCGTGCACCATTCGCTTTGACCCTGACAAGGTGAGCACCGCTCCCAGCTGTTGCATCTGGAAAGCTTTAGTGCCACCAGAAACAAGACACTGCATTCTCAGTGTGCTCCTTCGGGCCCCGGCACCCAGCGGTGGCTTGCTCAGCATCCAAGAGAGATGCTTCTGCCGAGCGACTTGGGGCGAGGGCTCTGCACAGCCCAACAATGTTGGGGAGAAGGGGAAAGTCTTCTCTAGCGCCAGCCCCCAGGGAAGCTGCCTTAACAGCAAATGAGAGCAACGTGAGGTATTTCTGTTTCATCAGCCTGCTCCCTGGTAGGGGTGCAGCAAACATCCCACAGTGACCAAGTGCTGGGCTGTGAGGCAAATCACAGCCAGTCCCCAGGGCACACTCAGCAGGCAGGTGAGGGGGACCAGCTACTCCAGAAACTCTCCTACCGTCAGAAATCCAACCCTGTCCTCCTGTCCCTTCGTGAGTTAAGTACAGAGTCTTTCTGAGAGGAGCTGAGGGCTTCAGGAACCTTTCTGGTCACATCCCAGAGACTGGGTGGGGGAAATGCGGCGGGACCACCAAAGAGGAGCCTGCTCTGGTGACAGGCATGAGCACCTCACTGCCAGGATGTCCCCAGTTCCACCGTCTATCTTGGTGAGTCTTCTGGGTGCCTTACAAAGTGCACAGTGGAAAGTCCCTGTGAAACAGCAGCTAATCCCTGAGCTTCTGTCCCAAGGCCACAGCTCTGACTGGTATGGGGCAGCATCAGGCCTTGAGCCCAGGCAACTGTAGGCCCAGGGCTCTAGGGACAAAAGCTGGGCCCAAGTAAGCAAGAGAGGACACAATGGTGACAGTAACTCAGCTGTTCATGGCCAGGAAGGACAAAGACCCAAAATAATGTCACAGAGTCTTGGTCATTTAAACAAGCCTGACATTAATATATTTCCTAGTTGCAGCGTTACTCACTGTGAACTAAAACAACCTTCCTGCCTCTTTACACATCTGGGATTCCAAGCAGCAGCCTCTCCTCTGGGGCATCAACACCCCCCCTGCAGGGAGGAGGGGCAAATGCAAGGGCCTCTGGGAACTTGGTTCACTCAGCAGAGTGGGTGCCCACACGGGGTTCTTCGGAGTGGCCTCGTGGAAGGTGTGTTCAAGTACGTGCTCTTCCAACACTCAGAGGGACACAACAGGGTCTCTGGAGAGGGATGAGGAGACCCAAGAGTCCCCTGGAAGGGCCTAGCCAGGGAAACTCACAGATTGGCCCACCAAGTCACACGGCCCGGGTCTCAGCTTCAATTTTTTGTTCCCCGTGTAAGCTCTCAGGGTCCGGAAGCTGGGCCACACTCTGTCTGACGGCAATCTCGGGGCCGCCTCCATACAGGGTGTTTAGGTAGCTCCAGGTCTCCTCGGAAATCTGTCCATAGTCAGCTCCTACAGTGCATGGGAGATATGCCCGGTGGGGGTCCAGGAGGGCCAGGCCTCAGAAGGGAGGCAGGGCCACGACCGGCTTCTCATGCAGAGTAAAATTAAAAAAATAAAATAAAACTCACTGCCGCCGAGTTGTTTCTGACTCATAGCGACCCCTCCTTGGGTTTCCAAGGCGGTAATCTCTATGGAAGTAGATTGCCCAATCTTCCTTCCGAGGAGTGGCTGGTGGGTTTGAACTGCCAGCCTTCTGGTAAACAGTCAAATGCCTTAGGCACTACGCCACCAGAGCTCCCATGCAAAGTAGTCAAACAAATTTCAGGATTTTCCAGAGAAAAGTCCACTCTGCTAAGGACCCCACAGGACACATGTCTGGCTGCCAGCCCTTGTTTCCCAGGAGGTGGGTGAACATAAAGGACAGAGGAGCCAGCAGAAGGCGACAGAGGTGGGTGGGGGTGGGAGTGGGGCTAAAGACCCACACAGAGGCCAAGCACCTCAGACCATCTGCGCAGCACCCTGGGCTGGACCTGGCCTCTAAGACAGGCTGCAGGGGCTCCAGGGAGAATCGAGACAAGGCAGCAACCTGGCAGCTAGGAGAGGCGGAGGGGAAGCCGGCTCAGCCCGGGAGGCCAGGGTTCCGGCTCAGCAAGACTCACCCTGCTTCAGCTGGATGTGTCCACTTCCCTTGACCTGCACGATCCTGCTGTTGTCAATGGGCCCGGGAGGCTCTGGAACAGACATGGCTCAGGATTAGCGCCACCAGGCCCCTCCAGCAGTGGGAAGACACCCCTAGTTCCAGCCTCTGCTACGGCCTTCCACAGCTAACAGAGCCATTCTCAAGGGGTGCCTCTAATACCTGAGGTCCCAAAGAAGCTGCCCTGAGGCCAAGGGCCCCAAGCCAGGGAATCAGTGTGAAGTATTTAACATAGTGAAAAACGCACTGCCATGGAGTCGGATCCAACTCATAGCGACCCCACCTTGGTTTCCGAGGCGGTATCACTACGGAAGTAGATTGCCCAACCTTCCTTCTGGGAGCTCTGGGAGCGCAATCTAATCTGGGGCAACTATGAGTCGGTCCGACTCGACAGCACATAACAACAACAACCCTTCCTTCTGAGGAGTGGCTGGTGGGTTTGAACCACCAGCCTTCTGGTTAGCAGTCAAATGCCTTAGGCACTAAGCCACCAGAGCTCCTTAACACAGTGAGGTGCCTGGGATACCAAGTCCTCCACTACCAGAAGCCTCAGAGCCAGAAGCTCATGACCCTGCTAGAGGGAATTTCTAGAACTCACGTGCTAATCTCAGACTCTAGCTACTGTCAGCAGGAACCAGTGCCAGGCCACCAATACCCTAATCTCTGCCCTCCCCGACTCCCTTCCCATGTGCCTGGCATTGTGCTGGCTCTGTGCACGCTTCATCACATTGCATCCTCAACAGCCACCTGTGATGAGAACCTCTCACAGAGGCAGAAACTGAGGCTGACACAGGTTAGGTAGCCTGCCCAGGTCAGAGGTGACACCAGGCAAACCAGGACTGAGAGAGGCCCCAAATCGCAGGCCACATCCTTAACCACAGCCACACTTGACTGCACTGACCACCCCCCCCAGGGGCTGCTGGCTGTCCCAGCACCGTGGACCAGAGGCTGGGCAGCAGTGGGCACTCCTCTTTCCCTAGTGCTAGCTGGTGCTTATGCAGTCGGTGACAAACACAAAACCAGACAGCTCTGCCAACCCTGAGACTACAGGAGACCCAAGAACCTCCCTCCTGCAGGAGCCTGTCTCCTCCTCCGTAAATCAAAGGAACCAACAGTGTCCTTCCTAACAGTCTGGACAGTCAACTATGGTTTATTATTTGGGGCAATAAACTCCTCAAGGAAAGGGCCTTGCAGGTGAGGAAGAGCAGCTTCCTGGGGGCTTCCCTAGCAGTGTGTAGAGTGGGCAGAGGCCAGATAGAGAATGGCCTCCTACTGGGGCAATCACTCGGCAGGAGGTCTGCAGCTGGGCTGGGGACAGCAGTCCCGCCTCTGGGGCCTGGAGGAGCACTTGTGCACTCAGCTCAGCTGGGAAGGTGCTCACATGGAGGGGCAGCATCAGAGACCTGCAAGGCAGCAGGGACAGATCGCTCCACGGCCCAGGTCTCCCAGCATCTATCAACAGCATCGTCGCTGCAGTCCTCCTCCCAGGAAGGCTGCTCCCCTCCCCGACAGGGCAGCCTGGAGTCCCTCGTGGGGGGAGGGGAAGGGGAGAGGTTAAGTGCCAGGCACAGTGCCAGGCCCTGCTCTACTCACCGTTGTCCTTCCCCTTGACAAAGGCCTCCCACTCACGGAACCACTGCATGCTGATACAGTATATGACGCTGGGCGACTCCTCAGCCTGGAAGGCCTTGTTCAGCTGGGGACAGTGGGAAGAAGGGGACCAGAGAGGACGGTCAGCTTCCAAACCTCCCAGCTTTTCCTTTATATCCTCACCCTCAAAGCTTACAAAAATACTAGACACTCAAGGTAAACTCCCAGACAAGTTCAAAGAAAATGAACACCTACCTCCTACCGAGAGGGGACTGCTGGTCATTCATCATATTTTGGTGAATCTCTTCAGAAATTTTTTTCCAACCCAATTTGGATCACACGGGACACACTGTTTTTGCCCCCTCACTTCACAGAATGTGTCTATCTGCTCATGTCTTTACTCTTCTGACAGTGCCACTCTTAAACGGCCATGACGGATGGGAGTCCTGGACATCTTTACCCACCCTCTCCACTGCTGAAGGACTGACATCCCTGAGTCCCGTCACAGCAGCACTGCAGGGAAGGAGGGGGCCTGGCTGCCTCGGCCTCACACAGGGGTGCCCTTCCTAAGTGGAGTCACGCTGGGGGACCTTCTGCAACTTGCTGTTTTCATTACTGCACTCTCTCCCTGCACCTCAGTTGGTACAGCAAAGCAGCTTTCAACCAACAGTGAGCCTGCCCTGTGGGATATGTGGCAACGTCTGGGGGTAATTCTGGTTGTAACTTGCATCACGTGAGGATGCCAGGGATGCTGCTAAGCAGCCTCTGACACCCGGGAGAGTCCCCACAATGAAGAATCACCCAGCCCAAAGTGTCAGTGAAGCCAAGGCCGAAAAGCTCTGGTATATTCCTGCCCCACTCTTTTTACCACTGCTTAATAGCCCAACATGTAATGGGCCTTAATTTTCTCGAGCCAACAAGTTCTGCCAGTAAAAATCCTCTCAACTTCTGTCCAGGCCTCCACTCTGGTCTCTCACAGGACACTTCTTCCAAATAGGCAGCTGATGGCACAGCCCCTGTGGTCCCAGGGCCCAGCATGTTTTGAGCACAGGCAAGAGGAGCTGGTCCCCTCAGCCCCACCTACACGCACCTTGATGAAGGTGTCGATCTCAATCCTCCTGCGCTTGGCCAGAGCCTCAATCTCCACCTGGCAGGTGGAGCACACGTACAGATGGTTCACGGCAGGGCCACCCCCAAACCTACACCCGGTGGGAGGGAGAAAAACACAACCCTGAGAGGCAGGCCCTTGTAGGGAGAAGGCATGGAACTTGCTGGAGAGCAATTCCTGCCCTCCAAGGGGTAGGTGACTCTGGCTCCCACTCAGGGTCTCAGAGGAGGGGAGGGACCCAGGAGGCTTTCTGGGACACTGCTTTGCCCATCAGCTCCCTGCAGTGCCCTGTCACGTGTCCTCCTCAGGAGCTGGCACTGGCGCCAGCTCACCAGCAAGTCCCCAGTACCACACAACGCCTTCCACAGAGCAGGTGTGTCACAAATACCTGCTCAGTGACAAAGGCCAGGGACTGCACTTCCCCATCTTCTCCTGGCTGCTGGGCAGGGAAGTGGGCAGCATTCTGGTGGCTGAGAGCTCCCCTGAGGACAACGTCAAAGGGAGGCTGCCACTGGTAGGATAGTGCAGTGTAGTAAATTACTCAGTGTGGCTTTTCTACCCATAAGTCTTTGTAAACTCCAAGGTGGGATTTGCTATGAGCAACTGAGGAGCTCCTGATTGCTGAAGGTGTCCACCTGGAGTATTTCTGTTGGGAGTGGCACAAAACAATGTTCTGGGAAGTGCCCACTCTATCTCAGGTGCTTAGAGTTCTGATGCTATGATTGGCTAGTTTGACCACCCTGCCGGGCTCAAAAGGAGGCCTCCTAGAGGCAGAACTCTCTCTGACTGCTGGTTGAGCAAGATGTGCTGCCGAAAGAGACACGCGCCCCTGAAAGAGACATGTGCTGCTGGGAAAGAGACACAAGAGACATGCATTGCTGAGTGAGACACCGAGGGACCAGCACTGCTGGGAAAGAGACTGTGAGAGACTGTTGGCTGAGGGACAGTGGGCTGGGAGAGAGGCTGAGCATTTTTCCTGAACTTGAGTTGTAGCCTGTGGTGCTTCCCTAATAAACCCCATAATCTGTGAGTTCTGTGTGGCCACTGCAGCGAATTATCGAACCCAGGAGAGAGGTGGTGGGTGCTTTGGAAGGAATGGTTGGAGGAAGGGCTGGAGGGAGACAGCATGTCTGGCCTGGCAGGAATAGACCTTGGGTTATTGCTGGTAATCCTGTCTTCCTCTTGTGGGATTAGAGGAGGTCAGAACATGTGGCCTCCTTGCCATTTTTGCAGATAGTATGTGGCCCAAGCCTGAGGAGATCCCCACAAGATTAGGAGGTACATCCCCGTGAGGTCCTGACCCATCCATTGGCAACATGGGAGGGAGAATGTCTACTCCAAACCTGCAACTAAATGTAGTTAAGTCCGTAACAGTAAGAGACACGGGTGGCACAGGAACTTCTTTCCTCACGTGTATGACCACACCCTCAGCTGTGACATATCCCACCCATCTGGCTGAAGAGAGACAGGGTTGGAAATGGGCCATGACCAGAGTGGGCTGCTGGGAGGCAGGCCTGACTGGCTCGCAGCAGGAAAGCCACGCCCTCTCAGCCTGAACAGATCTGAACCTGAAGTTTACAGGCAGAGCAGCAGCCCGAACCCCCAGACAACACCAGCAGGGCCAGAGGGGAGGAAGAGGCCAGCCCACAGGCCCCAGCACCCTGCCCTGCAGCCCCACCCTAAAGATTTTCAGCAAGACAAGTTCATATGCTTGCTTCTACCTAAGCCAGTTTCCTGTCCCATGTGACTGGACTGGTACTAATGCTGTGTTTTCAGTGCACACTGTGTGTGCTCCTGGAAAGCTAGAGGGAAATGCCCTCGGGGCAGGGCCAGCTTCTAGCTGTTCGGTTGCCTGAGTGAGGACAGCTTAAGGGTTCATGGGGTCAGTCCTTGCCTGGTCTCCTTTGCTGCCCAGCTGAGTCCCCGGCCAGAGCAGAACCTGGCCAGTCTCTCCAGAAGAGGCTCCTTACCTGTTGTAGAGGTGCTCCCAGACATTCTGGGGCAGGATCACCACCAGGTCGTCGATGTAGTGGTATTTGTTGGGTGGGATGCCTGTGGAGAAGACAACCGGGAGAGAGAACTGGAGCTTGAGGCAACCCCTCAGCCCACCCGCCTGGGACCCCAGTGCAGAGGAGCCCCAGCAGGGCCTGCTGCCTGGGCGCCCTCACCTCCATGTGAACAGAGGAAGGTATGGTTGGTGATGGGCCCCGGCTCAGCGAAAGTGTTGAACTTGTTGAGCCATTCACGGGACACATAGAATCGCAGCAGGCTGGGCTCCCGCATGGCGGCCAGGGACACCACCTGCTGCCGCTCCCGCACAGCCTCCTCACTGCTCTTCCTGGAACAGAGTTCAGGGAGGGAGGAATGGGGAACTGCAGCTGGGCCTGGGCCTGCTGCCCAAGGTGGGGCATATGAATGGGGACATAGCCATGCCCTTGGTCCACAGCCCCCTCAGCCCTGTCTGGTCCACCTGGTCTGCCCACATCTCCTAGCTCTGCTGCCCAGGCTGTAGTCTGGCTGCCATCATCTCTCCACCGCAGAGGTCCCAAACTTGGCTTCTCACCACCAGGCTTTTCCACTTTCCCCATGGCAGACAGAGGGCTCTCTTAAAAACCCCAATTCTTCTTCCCTGCCCCCTAGTTTCACACCCTCCCAGGCTCTCTTCTACCACACCCTCATAGTACAGTCTTGTGCAGCAGTGGCAGGACATCCAGGCCCCATGGGTTGCAGGTGTGAGGGCCCAGCACCCCCTACCTGTAGAAAAGGACGTAGGCTTCGGTGTTCTGCACCACCGTTTCATGGACCTCAGTGACATACTGGTCATCGAACTCATACCACTGCCCATTGATAACGTTTTGACAGTAGGCAATATAGTGCCCACCTGCAGCGGGAGAGGCAAGCAGGTTACAGGGATCCTAGGAGACTGGGGGAGGGGGTGCCAGAAGCAGGTGGGCAGCCAGACTTACTGCCTGCTGTGCCGTGATGGCAGATGACTGAGAGGAGGTCATAAGTGGTGATCTGGGACATGCACTCCTTGGCTAGGAAGGGGCGCAGGTCGAGTCCCTCCAGGGGGAAGGAGACATGGCTGTTGATTTTGAACGAGTACATCACCTCATGCCGAAAGCGCTTCAGGTGAATGCACAGGATCTGAGGGGCAGGGGAGGGAGCTGGTCATCCCAGAGTTGGCTAGGGCCCTGGGACCTCAGCACCCTGGTGGGCCCCAAAGAAGTACTCTGAGACCTGCAGCTCCGAGGCACCCATGAGCTCACTGTTAACCCATGCCCTAAACCACTCAGGGCCTCAGGTCATCAGAGCAGAAAATGATAAGAAACCTCACAGCTGAGATTTCCACAGGTGCACAGGCAACCTGACAGGGTGCAGCCTACTTGCTCCATCTGAACATGGCATGTAGCCAGGACCTTCCCCTCACTTTGGTTCGTCTCTGGTTTCATTTCTTAGGCACACGGGAGCTGGCCTAGGCTCACTTCAGCCACACGGTCAGTGTCAGGTGGCCAGGCCTGATGTTGGGGTTGAGCAACACCCACGTGGGATCTGCTGCCTAGATAGGTTGTCCCTGAGAAGGGCTGGGCTACTCGCCTCAGGACACTGACCCTTCCTCTGTCACTAGCGATCAAAAGAACTCTGACAACTAGTTTTATTGTTGCCTCTTCTCAAATCCTTCTTCACAAAGATTGTCCAAACCTGCTTAGTTAGCAACATCATGAATACCTAACCCCCATCCTGGGCCATTCTTTGCTTTGGGCCATCCACAGTGGCCTTCACTGGTTCAAGCAAGCTCATTCCTGTTTGTTCCATTCTTCCTCCACAAGTTCAAAACCACCTTCAGGTCTCATTACATGTTACTCCCTTAGACAGGATCCCTAGGAGCTCTGACTGGGATGAGTCTGCCCCTACATCCCCCATTCTGCTTCTGACAGGGGCCATATCTGTCTTATTTGTCGTGGTACCCCCAGTGACCCCACGCCTGCCTCACTGTGGGCCCTCAGAAACATACCGTATAACAAATGAGCCGAGGCCACAAAAAGAGAGGACTCCAAGCTACCAAGGGGACTACGTGCCCTCTCCTTCCCATGAGAACCCCCAGCCAAATGTAGAGCGTCTCCACGGACCTCTCTGGCTTAGAAACTGGCGGCTCCTGAAGGTGAAGGGGGCTTGGCCTTCACACAGTCCCGCCAGCTGTGCTGTGCTGCAGGATATGAGTCTGGAGAAGCCTAGAGAGGCAGAGAAGTGGAGGAGGGCTGCCCCACTCACCTCGGGTAGTCGGAGCACCTTACAGTACTTCACTCCATTCCGCAACCTGGGGAGGAGAGGACAAGCAGAGAGGCTGAGTGAGCCACCGGTCTCGGTGTGGGAGGAACAGAGGACGCACATAGCGCCCCCCAAGCCAGTCACTTCTGTGAGGCCAGGATTGAGCTCTCCAAGTAGGAGAGACACTGGGGAAGCCAGGGGGAAATCTGTGGAGCACAGACAGACCACAGAGGTCAGGAATGGCACACACTCACTTTTTACACCGCTCACAGCTGTACATGTTGTCACCTGGGGCAGTAAAATAAAGGGACTGGGTTAGCAAGAGTAGGGAACAGGGAGCAGAAGCTGAGATCAGATGATGTGAATATAATGACATGTGCCTAAGAAATAAAACCAGAGATGAACCAAAGTGAGGGGAAGATCCTGGCTACATGCCAAAGGCAGAATCCATAACCAGAAAAAAATGGACACATTGGATCCCAGAAACACTTAAACTCTTGTATGAACCTCACCATCGATAAAAGTAAAAGTCAAAATGGGTGGGAAATGCAACATTAAAGACAGAATATGTGTTAAAATCATTAATGTATAAAGAATTTTCCCAAAGGTTAACAAGGTATCAAACACCCAAAAGAAAAATAGGAAAAAGACAGGAATTTTTAAATAATACGAAAAGCCAGTACACTTACAAAAAAATGTTAAACCTCATTCATAATCAAAGAAATGAAAAATTAAGTCAAGGTATCATTTTTGCCAGGCAAACTGGCAAAACTTAAAACCTGGTTACTACCCTAGAGTTGCAAGGCAGTGTGAGGGGCAGGGGAACATACAGCCTCAGGCAAGACGCCAAGTGGTGGGGTGGCACTAACTTGTCCCACTTTTGAAGCAAATCCGGCCGTATGTATTACAAACCTCACACTGCACATTTCTCCAAGAGTGGACTAGGTGTCTGCATGAGAATCCAAAGCCCCTGAAGACCTTCAGGGTTCCCAGCACAGCATGGCACTAGGCCCCAGCCCAGGCAGTCTAGACACTCACCCTTCAGCTCATCTGCAGCGAAAAAGGCTGCAAGGCAATCCTCCAGGGTCACGACAGGCCCCCAAAACCAGCTGGGGGTACAGGATACCACAATCCTATGGAGACAGAAAGGGATGGCAGGGGTGCTGCCAGGTCCTGGGCAAGAAGACTGGGATGACTTGGGTTTGCTCCAGGCCCGAGCCCCAGCAGAACCCTGATAACCAGAGCAGCAGTGTGGCAGAGTAGGTGGAAGGGGCCCAAGTGTGGAGCCAGACACCTGGATTCAAGCTCTGGTTCGACCAGCCGCCAGCTCCATGTCCTCAGGCAAATGACGTCACCTTACTCCTCACTTGCTGTCCTCATCTGTGAGGCCAGTGATCTCGGTGGCTTTTCCCATGGGCCGTTGTATGGGCCCCTAATGTCGTGCAGGTACGGCCCCTTCACTCCACACAGTGAGGGCTCAGTAAAGCTGCCCGTGCACTCCAGCTGCTGCCCTCCTTCTAGCTGCCTCTCGGTCACCCTCCCCATGATTACCCATCCCCCAACTCCAATCCACACAGCTCCCATGTGGCCAAGGAACTACACTCCCTCCTCCCTGCCGCCCCCCCCCCCAACTCAATGCATCCTTCACCCTCGAGATCCCTTCCAGAATCTCCCCGGTCCCTGCAAATGCTTGTCCATTGCTGAAAGTCTGTCTCCTGCCTCGACTGTGAGTGCCAGGAAGGCCAGGCCAGGGCTCGTCTTGTTTGCCCAGCAGGCAGGAAGGTGGATGTACCGTCGGATATACTCCACGATGAAGGCAAGCCAACCCTGGGCAGCATAGCTGTCCCCACAGGTGCCTGGCTTGGCTGGCACATTCTGGTAGATGGCCGAGTGGAGCTTGGCCAGGTCCTCCTTGCCAGGAATGGGCAGTGAAAGGTCCTGAAATGTCTCCACTGTGGTGGACACCTGTGGGGTAGAAGGTCAGCCTGGGTCTCCACCTTCCAGGGTCCTGCCCAGCCCTACCTGAACAGTACCCACACCACAAATTCCAGCCACTAGATGGCAGTGTGGGGGAGAGGGCCTGACTCTGAGATTCAGGGAGCCTACCAACCAGGTCCTCCTGCTGCAGAAAGGTAGAGAGGGCTAGATGGACAACCTCTCCTACCACCTGCAACCAGAGTGAGTAACACTGAGACTGCCAGCAGCCTGGCAGGCCTTCCTCAAGCCCCAAACACTCACCCGGTCACAGGTGAGACACTGCACGAGGCTGAGGATGGAGCCATCGAAGATGTCCGAAATGACACTGCGGTAGCGCTGCTCCTTCCGCCTCCGGCTGCCAGTAGTCAGAACCTGGGCTGGGGGCACAGCATGGCACTAGGCCCAACCTCCACCTGTCTGTCTGGGACAAGGGGTGGGCACTGGGGCTTCCTTTGCCAGGACATAGGGTCAAATCTTTATGAGTCATGTGACTGGGGCTGCAATTCACCTCTCATGCCTCGATGTTATTAACTCTAAAATGGAGATCCCACACACATGTCCCTTGTGGTGCTACAAGCATTCAGAGATGCTGGGTGAGAAGTACGTACAGCTTAGCCCCTGCACCCAGTGTTTGAACATGACAGCTGCAGGTACTATTGCTACTCCTAGCCCAGAACTCACATGCAGATACCGTGCTGGTCTACCCCTCCACCCCACTCCTCCGAACCTTTCTTGAGCACATATGACGGCCCCATCCTCACAGGACTTGCACGAGGAGGGGTGCTAGACAGCTTGTGGACGGGGCTGCAGGGGCAAGAGGAGCTGCGTATATGGGCATCATTGTCTGGCTCTGGGGACAGAAAGGGGACTATGCTGGGGCCAGGGTAACCAAGCCAGCCAGGCCAGGGTCCCCATACCAGCCCAAGGCCTGATCAGGAAAAGGACCCACCAGCAGTTTTTAATGGGACTAAGGCCTGAACCTATGTGTCTCCAGGCCCTATACATGCTGGAAAGGAACTGTTCACACACTTCACTTTCCCAACTGGGGGCTCAGGGCTCCAGGCAGGGCTCTGACTCTGGCTTCAGTGTTATTGCTAAGTGAGATCTCTGACACTGATTTCTCTCCTGGAAGTTGGGTCTAGCGGTAGACTCTACCTTCCACGGTGGTTGGGAAGACTGATGGGCTACTGTGCGGAGGTGCCTGACACACAGTAGTTGCCAGACAAATGGGGCTCCCAGCTCAGCTGCCATGCTTCCTCCCAGCAGCCCCGGGTGGCCCCTGGTTGTCTGATACCTGGTGTCCGGCAGGGGCTGGTGGAACGCGGCAGCGATGGCAGAGTCTCCGTGGGCTGGTCTTCCAGGGTGGCCATGGCAGTGTCCACATCAGCATCCTCGTCCACTTGCTCAGAGTTTGTACGCTGCTGGCCCCAGGAGAACTTGCGGTCCTTCATCCGCTCCTTTTCGGAGATGGCACGGCCCGCCTCGTCCGGAATCAGCAGCTCTGTTTCGGCCTGTGAGCCACCCCCCCCACGACCCTGCCCGTCACCCTCACCCCGGTCACTGCTTGAGTCGCAGGACAGAAACTCGTCCTCTGACGGGCTCCGGTCACCCTCTCTCTTCTCTTCTGTGTCACTTGAGTCAGAGTCCCGAGCCTCTGTCACTGCTGCTGCTGCCACCTCTGGCTCCTTTAACTCCTCATGCAGCTGGTCCATCAGGCAGCGCAGGAACTCCTGGGTGTCCTGGAACCATGGGCTGCATCAACAGGATGAACTGGCCACAAGCACCCTGCTGCCTCTGCTGACAAGGACGCCAGCCTCTTCCATCTAGTGACTGCCTTGTGGGTGCCCTGTGCAGATGATCTAATCAACTCCTCACAGGAGACTCACCAGGCGGTCCTGTCCTAAACTCCATTTTACTAAGGAGGAGTCTGAAGCTCAGAGAGGTTAAGGGACTTCTCCCAGGCCACCCAGCTATAGTATGGCAGAGCTGAAAGCTGAACCAAGATCCATCAGACTCCACAGCTCATGTTCTTAACCACCAGCAACTCTGCTTCAAATTCGGTGTGGAAGGCAAGAGAGGATGTACAACATTCAGCCACTAAAATGAACTTTTCTCTATAGGCCAGGCCAGTGGGGATGATCAGGGAGCATCCTGGAGAATGAGAGGGTGACACAGAGGGGCTGTGCACAGGGAAGGCATAGCTGAGTTCCACACTAGCAGGGCCAGGCCACCCACATCATCAGCCCTTCTCTGGCTTTCCCTGCTCTCTCTCCTCTGCCAGCACCCAAGCCTTCTTGCTTGTCTGTGACCTGTGTGTGCCTTACCTTCCCTTGCCATCATAAGACTGAAGTGCACAGAGGCTGGGATGGGGGGGTGTTAGAAGCCCAGCTTCCTGCACACCTATGTAAGACTGATCACAATGCCACCCACAGGTTGGCTGGGTGCTCAAGTCACAGCCATGCCAACTTTATCCTGATTCCTCTATGACCGTGTCTCCAGCCCAGCAAGGCCTCTAGTCAGCCTGCCCACTAAGCCCAGCCCAGAGCTGTGCACACAATACGGGAGGTGCTTTGAAGGCTTACAGGGTGATGATTGCAGCCACCCACTGGCAGCTAATAGCACTTGGTGGTGGTGGCTGGGCCCCTGGAGGAGGACCTGGGTTCAAAGTCCTGCTATGACCCTCAGACTCTTTGAGCCTTATGTCAGAAGCAGCCACCAGTCCAACTCCTGACCCACATGAAGCCAGGGTTCTGCAGCGGGCAGATTCAGCTAAGCACCCACAAATCTGGAAGGGCCTTGTTCTCTTAGTGGGAGCAGAGTGAAGGGAACAGTCTGGATGGATTTCCTTAGGCAGTGTCAGACACCAAGAGCAGAGAAATTAACCACTTGCTTATCTTGAGTTAGGGAGGCGGGGGAGGAGGAGACAGACCTGTGTCAGGTACACTGAAAGCTTCTTCTAAGACAGAGGTCTTCGGTACACCATCTAGTTCTCTTTCCAGCAAAAGTACTATGTGTCCATTGCCAAAATCTCAGTCTATACAGAACAGGTCTACATTGCAGACTCAAGACATGTTCCCTGCACTGCATCCAAGAACCAGGAGAAAGGGATGCTTGTCCTGGAGTCCAAATGGATGTCACACAGCAGCCAAGCATCCCCACTCAGTGTCCTCACCAAGAGACCAAGAGCCAGCAGGGGACCCTGCACACAGAGTGAAGGTGGTGATTTGGGGCGAGATTTTGAGTCCCATGCCTGCTTCTGTGTGCTGTGGGTGTGACATGGACAAGCAGCAGAACCTCTCTGAGCCTCACTCTTGACTCAGTGCCCGCTTCATGAGAGCTTTGGGAGAACTAAACAGGGCTGCACTCATCATGTGGCACATAAAGTGACTGCTCAATAAATGGCAGCTGGTGGAATCGCAGTCACTCCGGGTGTTATTACTTCCCAGCAAGGGCAGTGTTCAGGCAGCAGTGGGCTTCTAGGGCAGGTGCCTGGACAGGCCCAGCTGAGGGTGTGGGCAGGGAAACATCAGGGAATGGACGGGGAGCAGGAGGACGGGGACCGACGGAAAGAGCAACAGGCATCCCTCAAACCACCACTGCTCTACCCCCAGCCCCACACTCAGTCAACAGAAAAGGTAACCAAGCAGGCCCAGCCCCACCCTGTACACACAGTCAGGGGCAGGACTTGGACCACGTGAACTAGCAGCTCAGCTCAGGGCAAAGGCAGAGACCGAGATGCATTCTGCTTCATCTTGGTTCCATGATTTTACAAAACAGAAAGATATGATTGTTTTCAAAGGGGTTCTTTACATTAGAAAAAATAATAAAAGTGAAATAAATTCCACCTGTGGTTTGAAGAGCAAGAATGCTGTGTGCCATTTTGAGTGCAGTGCTGAGGGACACAGACTTTGGAGTTAGACTGCCTTCTGCCATTTATCAGCTATGTGACTAGGCAAGTGACTTAGCCCCCCAAGCCTCAGTTTCCCCATCTGTAAATACCAGGAGTACCTGCCTCAGCAGGTTGTTAGTGGGGAAGGGGCCTCCAATGTCCTCATGCACATAAAGTGCCCAGGCCGTGAGAGCGTTGTCTTTAAGATACACCCAGCAAAGTTTAGCTGTTTGTTGCTATTTTCCACTCTACTTTTGGCTTCAAAGCCAGACCTGGTATAGTTAATGGCCCTGGGTGTCCTCTGGGCAGCTCAGACGGCCTACCTGCTGGGCATAACCTCGGAACATCGGGTTGACCAACTTGATCCCATGAGACAGGCTGGTAGGAACCACGTAGCTTGGGCTGTTGGAAGACCAAACCCGTTAGTCCAGGTGGCCTGCCCTAAACCACTCAATCCTGTGACAGACAGGCAGGCAGGCAGCCGGTAAGGCTGGATCAGACTCCCAGCCTTCAGTTACCTGAAATTGGGAAGCGCTTACCCTATCAGGAGCCCCACCAGGCTCCTGCATCTTTACATTCAAGAAGGAAAAGGCCAAGTCATAGCCGCCTCAAGCAGATAAAGCTCTTGACTAGGATGACGTAATTTCTAGCTAGTTCACAACAAACCCACCATAAAAAACTGTGTTTTTATTTTGAAAGTAGAGTTACAGTGGGTTTTCTAATTTCAAAAAATACATATTTCCACTACTGAAAACTGTAAAATTTCAGAAAAGCACAACAAAGAAACCTCACCACTAATCCTATCACCCAGAGGTAACTACCATTAAGATTTGCAGATTTTTCTGTAAAAATACAGACAGATATCCACTAAAGCATATACCAGTGTTTGCTTAAATGAACCTTGTTTCTTATAATATTGGAATTATATTATATCATACTGTTTTCCAACCTGCTTTTATACTTAATATATTTCTATGTGTTCATATAAATTATTCCTAACTTTGAATTTTCCCAGAGGAACAGATCTAATCCAAGCTCCTGATCTTTCCATTCATTTCATACTAAGCTAGAAGTCTCTGCATGGTCAGTGCCATCCTCAACTTCTGAGTATCTTTCATGTGTCACAGTGATAGCTAACAGTTGGGACTGGCTATAACATGCCTACTAGCTCTGATAGTGTAGTGACTAAGGCACTTGACTGCTCACCAGAAGGCTGACGGTTCAAACCCACCAGCCACTCCTCGGAAGGAAGGTTGGGCAATCTACTTCCTCATGATACCGCCTAGGAAACCCAAGGATGGGTGGACAGGATCTACACCCAGTTCAAATTCTACCTCCATTTTCACAACCTGTGTGACCTTGAGCAAGACATCTAAATCTCTCTGAATCTCAGTTTCCCGTTTGTAAAACAGGGTTGGGTACAACCTAGACCTCACAGGTTGTTGTAAGTGTTACAAAGGGTAAAGTCTGTCAAGTGCTTGGCTCGGGACCAAGTCCCCAGGAAGTGCTCAGTAAGCAGAAGGGCTGATAAAAATCCCCATCCTCACACCTCTGCCCAAGGTCAGGGACTCACTCACCGTTTCTTGTGCCAGACCTCAGAGACCAGCTTCTGGTAACTTTTGCACAGGGCTGGCTTCTTGTCTGTGCGGACCAGGCCTCCACACTCCAAGAAAAACTGGGTCAGTGGAGGGCTGGGGACGGACAGAGAGTAAGGTCAGAAATAGTGTCGTTCAGAAAGAGCTAGGCAGAGAAGCAAAAGTCCCAAGTGTTCATGGGGGGACACACACTGGCACCCAGACTCAAGAATGCCAATGGAAGGCTGAAAGGACCCCATCCTCTCCTCTGTAAAGTCAGACGTGAGCTCCGCACTGGAGGAAGGAAGCTTTGGGGCCAGGAAGCGGCTGCTGTACCAGTGAGAAAGGAGCCAGCTCCTGCTCTTCCTGCCAGCTCACTCCTTGGAAACCTTCCTGGACCTGAAGGAGACTTCTTTGCTCCTTACTCCCCCATTTTTTTAAAAACTACCTTATTACACAAGAAACATATGCTTAATGTAGAAAAAATAGAAAGTACAGGTAAGTAAAAAATAATAATCAGCCATAATCCTACCTAAGGAGAGCCACTCTAAACCTATTGGGGCATATCCTTCCAGACCTCTCTGTGCAAGCATATCTGTTCCTTCCTTCCTTCATACATATACTGAAGCCCTCCTACGTGGGAGGCCCTGCACCAGCCATAGCAGACCACCCAGCCTCATGGAATTGATAGCCTATCCTAGATGAAAATTAGTATTTTCTCAAAACAATGGGAGCCCACCACACAAAACTTCACAGCCTCCTATTTTTTTCCACTTACCATATTGTGAACCCCTTTCCATTTCAATAAATATTTCCCTGCATTATTTTTTTAATGCATCATTTTTAGTGACTTGTAGTTTTGTTCCACTGTAAGGCCGGGCTACAATGAACTCAACAATCCTCTGTTTCTAATAAACAACAAAGTGGCAAGCATCCATGTACATACTACTCTCTCAATAGCTCTGATTATTCTCTTAGGATAAATTACACTAGGAAGGACTGCTGGGTCAAAAGACATGTGTGTTTTTATGGATTTTGGAAAGTATCCATCTACACACCACCACAGGCAGCATGCTCAACCCCGTCCAGGGCCCACTGCTGCTGTTTCCAGGGCTCTGCCAGGGACAGCTCCCAGTCCCACCCTTTCTCTGTGAGGTGCTGACCTACCAGTTGGATAGGGCCTGCAGGGCAGCATTCATGTAGCAGGAGTTCCCGAGGTTCTTCATGCCTGTGAGACCTAGGAAACAACACCCATCCCCAGGGGACCAGGGTTCTGTCCTGGCACGGAAACTTCCAACTTCACACTCAGAGAGGGGCTGTGAGCTCACAACCCCCAGGACCCAACCAGAGCAGGACAGGAGTAGCTGGTGTTACACTCCCAAATGCTTCCCAATAAGTTAATGGGATTCTTATCCATAAAGCTATGGTTTAACTACAATTAGTCCAAGGGACTGGTACACCATGTGATCCTCAGCCAACATGACTATGAGACCAGAAGAACTAGATGATGCCTGGCTACCAACGTCAACCACTCAGAGGGGGATCTGTGTAGGAGATCCTGGATAGAGTGGAAGAACAATGTGGAACAAAACTAAAAATTACAAGGAAAAAAAAAAAAGACCAGGTTTGCTGGTCTGATAGAACCTGGTGAAACCACTGAGACTTACGGTTCCTAGCTGCCTTTCAGGTCTGGAATTGAACTCATTCCTGTGGCTTCCAGCCAAATAAAAGACCTGCATATGGACTGAACATTTACATCAGGTAGATACACTCCTTGGGAGCTCTGGTGGTGTAGTGCCTAAGGCATTTGACTGCTAACCAGAAGGCTGGAGGTTCAAACCCACCAGCAGCTCCTCAGAAGGAAGACTGGGCAATCTACTTCCATAGAGATACCGTCTTGGAAACCCAAGGAGGGGTCACTATGAGTTGGATCTGACTCGACAGCAGCGAGTTTGATTTTTTGGCTTTCAGATACACTCCTTGAAGAGATCAATCATGGGAGAACAAAAGGGCAGTGTATGCACAGGGAGACTGCTGGGGGTGGGGGGCAAGAGTGCATGTGAGGGAAAGACACAGGGAAGAGGTAACTATGGGGAGGAAGTGGGAGGGGAGCTGTTGCATTGTGGGAGACTGCAATCAACATCATGAGACAAAGCGTGCATGAACTGCTAAATGGAAAATGAATTTGCTCTATAAACTTTCACCCAAATCACAATGAATATTTAGAAAAAAAAAAAAAAGCTATGGTTAACTAAGTGCATTAAATATACAGACTTTTCAATCTTCAACCTAGCCTGGCCCATTGTCCACTCTCCACAGACAAGGAGGTCAAGGTGCAGAGGACTGGCTGGCCCAAGGGCACATGGCTGGAAGTGGGGACTAGGACTGCCAGGCCTCTAGGACTCAGCTGAGGATGCAGACTAGTATTTGTGGCACTCAAGGGGGAGCCACTATGCCTGCACATGTTGTGATCCTGCCCGGTCCATGATGAGACACAGTGTGTGTGGAGACAAAGACCCCAGAGCTTCCCAGCCCCCCAGCCAAGGCTCCAACAGCTTCCTCTATTCTGGGGGCCATTACCTCGAGGTTTCAGATCATCGTCTTCTGACTCAGACTCTCCTTCGTCAGCCACAGCAATAGGGACAGCTTTAAGAGGGTGAGAGGGTGGTGGAGAGTCCTGCATTAAAGACCCAGAGTGAGAAAAAATAAGAGGGTTAGAGGGAGACTGGTTGGGGTCAGAGGCCACATACCTCCCAGGGGAAGGAAACCCAGCATCCCAACCCCATGTGCCCACTCTGCGATTAGACTGATGGCTAATTTGCAGTTTATTTATAATAAATGTGGGGGAAAAAAACAGAGACATAAAGAAAACACAAAAACAGCATGCAATCCAATTTTCTTAGGAACCACTTTTAACAATTAACAATTTATATGTATACATGTAGATTGCTGTTAAGGTATATTTAATTGCATATTACATGCATATTACTACAAATACGTAACAAAAATGGGATATTGTATATATTACTTTACAGCTTTTGTAAGCATAATCATAAACATCTCCTACGTTTGTAAATATGTTCAATAAGCATTTTATTTAGCACCTACTCATGACAGTCCCTGTTCCAAGTGTGGAGGAAATACTGCGGTGAGGAAAGTCCTGGACTCCTGGAGCTTCTACTCTAGTACATAGTTCTGACAACTAAGACTTATCGACCATTCCCCGAGGGCAGACACTGGGCTAAGGCTCTCAGATGTGTGAGCTTGCTAAGCACCCCCAACTGTGACGGCTGTACCCCGCACCCATTCTACCACTCTGAGGGACTGTTATCTAGTTAAAGTAACACGAAGGTGGTTTCTAGGTGTTTCCCCGGGAGAAGCAGGTTGCAGTGACTATTGGTTGGCTTGTTATTCTCTCAGGGTACATTTCTAGATTTGGGATTGCCACTGGCTATCTATAGGAGCGCTGATAGCGTAGCGTCTAAGGCATTTGACTGCTAACCAGAAGGCTGGAGGTTCAAACCCACCAGCTACTCCTCGGAAGGAAGGTTGGGTGATCTACTTCTGTAGTGATACTGCCTCGGAAACCCAAGGAGGGGTCGCTATGAGTCGGGTCCGACTCGATGGCACATAACAACAACAACAACAACACTCTAGCTTGTGAGCTCTTTGAAGGGAGGTCCTACCCTTAGTCATCTTCATCCTTGTCACCTCACATAAGCCTTAGTACACAGCTGATTTCAGCAAGCATTTGCTGACATGAGCACCTCAAAGTCATCTAAGGATGCTGGTGACCCAGGAATAGACTATGGCTTGTTCTCCACTGATGCATAAGTCACACTGCCCCTTGGCCACTCTGAGAAGTTTAGACACTTGATGCAGTCTCACAAACAACCTACTAACTCCACTGCATCCTCCTTACCTGCTCCGAGAACTTGGGTGATGGGCCTGCTTGGGGGGCCACCAGCCGCCGCTCCAAGAACACCTCTTTCTCACAGGCATAACACCATACCCGAAACGTGGTCAGGTTCACCGTCAGGTTGTGCTTTTTAACCTAAAAGTAAGATCCACCCAGAAGCACCTTGTAAAACAGGCTTAGCAATCTGCTTCTGAAAGGTCATAGCCTTGCAAACCCTATGGAGCTGTTCTACTTTGCATATGGGGTCGTCCTGAGTCAGAAATGACTCGAGGCAACCAATAAGATTCAAAATAAGGTCCAGGATACACAGGCTGAACAGGAGCCCTGAGCCCACAACTGGGGCCCTCTCAGTAAGACAGGACTGAGGCCTGGAATCTCCACATTTGCTATCTTCCCATCACAAAGACTGTGGTGTGACATTGCTTTTATATGGCCTTTATTGCTCTGAGTTCAACTGATAAGATAGCACCTAATAAGCTACTGTCTTATAACTCCCACCAAATGATTCGGTGGGACTACGGAAATAAGGTGCAATCAGCCTTGGGCTCTTGATGCTAATGATGATAATGATTCTTCTCCCAAGCTTGTAAAGTTCGACAAGGATGCTGTTATCAAGCCATTTTTACAACTGTTGTCAGAAGTGAAATTCCTTGCAATGGCTCCAGACTGTGGAAGCATGGCGCTTTGTAAGAGAAAGAACAAAGGGGGGGTGGGAAGTGAAACTTTTGATTCTTAGATGGTTACTTTGGTTATTGTTAACTGTAATGGTTGAAGGGAAACAAGAAATGTTATGCTGAAGGGAGAAAAGCTGCATCTGGAGTGGCTTAGGGCAAATGTCAGGCTGGTTAAATGGTTAAACAAGATTGATAGGGGCCAGGGTCTTCTGGTTCCACTCAGTCAGAGGCCTAAGGCCATTTGCATATAAATGGGAAGATAGTCAAGATGTGGAGAAGAGAAGATGAAATGGATATGTTTTAAAAAGGGTTATGTGTGTGGGGGAGGTCATGTGTTTATTTGAATGTACTATGGGTATCGAATGTTTCTCCTACCTAGTGCTATAAAACAGAGCTACATGTATGATAGAAATGAGCACTGTGTATTATAGGTAACAAAGAGTGTGCAACTCCACCTCAGCCAATGCTTGATTGGGTATGCTAAAAAGGGAACTAGGATTTGCCCAAAAGAAACACAGGCTGTTTCTTTCCAGTAGTCCTATGTATGGAGTACTAAGGGCCCACCCAGAATCTTTCAGTTAGGAAATTTGTTTTCAAAAAAAGATGCAGTTAATAAATGGTGCTGGCAAAACTGGAGATCCATTTGCAGAAAAATGAAACAAGATTTGTACCTCACACCACACACAAAAACAAACTCCAG